CTCTCTCTCTCTCTCTCTCTCTCTCTCAGCCTAGCCTCCCTCACAAGATTGTTGTGGGAATAAAATGGGGGAGGACAAGTCTGGAGGGAGGACAACAAACACTGGGCCAACTAAAATAAGCAGGTTAAATAATATTTGAACTGTTTGCTTTGGTGACGGAATTAGTGTGGCCCTACCCTCCTTTACAATGGGCATTTTTTGTAAAGCACTGAAAAAAAAAATCCCTCTGGCCAGAACGGCTCTGACTCGGCAGCTGCTGTGCTGCTCTCGCATTCCGTGAGACTCCCAGACGGCTTACAAAAGCCTCTTTGTCTGTCTTTACCTGCAGAAAATATGGTCAGGGGCCTAGACGAGGATGAGACCAAGTTTCTCGACGAGGTTTCTCGGCAGCAGACCCTCATAGAAAAGCAGCGTCGAGAAGAAGATCTGAAAGAACTGAACGAATACAGAATATCCTTAGCGCTGCTGCGGTTTCTTTCCTCTTCTGCCTTGAGAGGTTTTTTTTTAAAGGGGGGGCAGCTCACTCAGCACAGGGAGGGGGGACATCAGGACATTGTAAAGAGCCAGTGCATGTCCAAATAGACAATCCTGGGCTGGAGTGACCAGTGGTCTGTCTTGGTATGAGGCAGCTTTAGATGTTCCTTTATGGTCCTCCTTTTTCTGGGGACATGGGCTTTAAGATTGGCTCCCCGAAGGTATCTCCCCATCCAGGTTAGCTGATGAGGCTAAGCTTCAGCATTTGAAGCCATGTTACATGGCTTTGGCCTCCTTCCATCTTGGAGGCAAGGCAGCTTCCCCTCTGAAGCACCCTAAAAGACTATGTTGTATTCTGGGTATACGTTTTTGTGTGCACACAGAAGCTCATACCCAGAATAAAACTTCGTTGGTCTTCAAGGTGTCACTGGGCTCAGACTTTGTTCTGCTGCTTCAGACCAACGTGGCTACCTGCCTGAATCTCTCATGTGTTCATCAGAAGCAAGTGAATTCTAGTCCCCAAAAGGTAGTATGCCCTCTTGCAGCAAAAACAAACTGGTGTGGTAGTTTTAAAGACTAACAGAGGCCCCGGGCACACGGGCCGGATATTGCGGGGGGGAGGCGTGGCTAATTGCCCTGGCGCAGTTTGATCCGTGATTACGCGATCAGACGTGCTGGCGGCACAGCACTGGTCCTTCCCTCGGCGCCAGCGGGTAAATGAGGGACCGGAAGGGAATGCCGCGCGCCGGCGCGATCACACCACGGGCGTCTGGAGGCAGCCCGTGGCAAACGTTTACTAGTACCTTGGAGGTACTAGTTTTTTAAGGCGCATTGTCGGCGGTAAACCACGGGTGCGCTCCACTTCCCAGATGTTGGGGTGTGATCGCGCCCGGATAATCCGGCCGTCTTCTGTGCCTCTCCCACGGCAACTTTGCCGTGTGACCGGGGCCATTGTACTTTGTAGCCCTGGGTAGCAATTTCAGAGGGCTTTCCTTTACTTAGTATCACCTAGGCAAGACCCTCATCTATGGGGTGTTTGCTTGCTGCATTTTGGTGCACTATCGGATTTGCATACAGACTTTTAAAAAACATTTTTAATTAAAAACATGCACAGAAATATAAAAAAGAGAGTTACCTCTATATAAAAAGCACATGCATAGAAAGGACCGGTTCCCATTACAACACTAGTTGATTAAATAGCCTTACAAGTTCTTATTTAAAAAAATATAATCTAAGAGTTTTCATCCAAATGACACATCAACAACAGTTACTCTGTATGCAGTTTAATAGTTCCACGCTAGCACTCTTAGACAGGGCAAGATGGTTCCAACATAATATAAAGGGTGACCAGGTTCCCATGTAGATTTTAGCCAACCAGAATTTCCACAACCCTATATATTATAACGGAGCTTTGATGGCTCAGTGGTTAAGAAGTTGAACTGCAGGCTGGAAAGTCTGTAGTTCAGCAGTTCGAGACCCGAGTGCCGCATGATGGAGTGAGCTCCTGTCTCTGCTTCCAGCTCTTGCCAACCTAGCAGTTCGAAAGCAAGAAATTGCAAGTAGATAAATAGGTACCACTTCGGTGGGAAGGTAACAGCGTTCCGTGCACCTTGGCGTCTAGTCGTGCCGGCCACATGACCACGGAAACGTCTTTGGACAGCGCTGGCTCTTCGGCTTGGAAACGGAGATGAGCACCACAACCCTAAAGTTGGATTTGACTGGCTTTCGAGCAAGGAAAACCTTTACCTATATATTTATATCACAATTTTGTTCATTATCGTGACAAGCCAGGCCTTCTCTAATTGCTGTCATTTTGCTCTGCTGAATTTTTATTCTTCTTTTGCTGCCTCCAGCATTGTGTCAAAATCATTCTAGCGGCCACGGTCAGAGGTATTTATCACAGTCACGTATTCTTTCTTAATTTTTTGGAGTATCCTCACCCAGTAGAGAGATCGTTGGGGTTGGGCTGCAAACTGCCTTCTTTCTCCTATGTTTATTAAGGGCACTGCTGTTTGGGAGTTATATTTAGCTTCTGTGGCTGCTTCAGGGTGTGCTGGATGCTGTGATGAGATGGAGGGGACACAGCAGCTGTGTTCAGAGGGTCATCCAAGTCCTGCATCAGGCTGGAAGGGACTAGCTTGGTGCCCTCGTATGCCAGACGAGGGAAACGTTGGTCCCAGCGTGCGCCTGGAGCCGATCCCTGATCTTGTGTAGCGAAGCCTGTTAAAACAGCCTTTGCTCTGTAGAGAAGGACAAATTGAACACACTGAATGGGGGGGGCGGGGTCGCCTGCAATTTGCTTGTACCTTTTAGGTCAGTGCAGTGCTGTTCTCTTTCTTCCTAAATGACCCAGAATGGTGGGAGGACATTGAAGTGGGCCAGGTTTGCTGATGAAGGTAGGTAAACCCCCCCCAAGCAAGATAGTGAGGAGCTCCAAGGTTATTCTAAGCTGGATAGACAGTGCTGTAGCAAACGGCATAAGTATAAAAAAAAGTTTCAGAGGGGCAGCCGTGTTGATCTGTAGCAGAACAGCTAGATTCGAATCCAGTAGCTCCTTTAGGGACCAACAAGCTTTTGGGGAGGTTAAGCTTTCAGTCAACCCTCCCTTTGTCAGATGCCAACAAAGGGAGCTTTGACTCTCGAAAGCTTATTGTCAGAGTCCCGTAGCAATCGGTCTCAACAATGTTCCTTCAGAAAGGATCAAGTTTATTGAGTACAGTAAAGGCAGGTCATCTTTGCATACATTTCCATGTAAGAGCTACCCCTAAAGGTGGGAGGGAGAAGATGTACTGTGTTCAAAGTGGGGGTCCCCTGATGGAGCCGAGCCAATCAGAGGTGCAAACGGGCTGCGCCTAAACTAACAGGTTCACATTCCCAGGCAGAGCAAAGCACCCGAAGCACCAAGGTCAGGCGCCCGGCTAACAGATAAGACTTCAGTGAGAAGGAGGGAAAGTGAACATTCCATTAACATTAAGACGTTCACCCAGCAGCCTTTTACCCCTCCCCCCAGACAACGGCAGCATAGCTGACACTTCTATCCCCAAAATCTTGTTGGTCTCTAAGGTGCCACTGGACTTGAATCTAGCTGTTAAGCAGCTGATGCTAGTAGGGGCCAAAACCCTTTGTGTGTATTTTGATTGTGTTTGAAACGGCAGCTGCTATGTAAACCTGCAGCAACTGACCAGGGAAGAGATTGTGGGCTTTGATGGGCAGCTCAATGAAAACGGCCAATTCACTCTGCTGCACCAATTTTTCTCCCCCCCCAAAAATATTTTCTTGGTAACAGGAAAGGGATGGCAGCACCCTTGTTCAGAAAGCCGTACACATGGAGGAGAAACTGGATAGATTTAGCCTTTTCTCCCAAAATACTAGAGCCCAGGGGTCACCCAGTGAAACTTCTTGGCGGTAGGTTTGAGGTGGACAAAAGAAAGGGTACTCAAGACATAATTAGCTTTCAGAACCTGCTGCCACGGGACGGTGTGGTGGGCACAATGTGGGATGGCTTCAGGAGGGAGTTTGAGAATCCTGCAGGATAAGGTGTCGGTGGCTGTCAGTCATGGTGGCAGTGACAACTAGAAGGAGGCCTTGCCTGGGATCGATTGACCATGGGCAATTCTGTTTATGGCGTGATTTGTATTGGCAGAGTGATGGCTCAGCAGTTACTGTGCAAACTGATTTAAAAGAGTAAAGAAAGTTTTATTCAGGAACCGGCATATTTGATAGTAAAGAGAAGAGACAGTCTCCTAGCTACCTTGCTAGCTGAGAGAGGGTGCTGTTCTCTTGAACTTCCAAGAAGAAAGAGGATCTAGCCTGAGGATACCAGTCTGGAGACAGACAAGAAATAAAATTCATCAAAGAAGAAGGTGCTGATTCCCACTCTCCTATCTAACCAGCCATTCCTCCCCGCTGCCAGACTTTGTCTGCCAGACTTTGCCTGCCTCAGCGGACTGCACATTTGCAGATGGTTGAACATCACTCTAGGACCCCAAGTGGCAGTTGTTGGGCATGCTATCTATCTACACATACACATGGTGCCCGGCACACAAGTGCGTGTCTCAGATAATTGTCTCCAAAAATGCAGTGGATGGTGGAAGTGCTAAGTAATGGTGGTTACTGAGGTTAAAGCTTGCCCAGCATGACTCCCGGGCTCCTTTTCCTAAACCAAAACAGCGGGATTCTCCTCCTCACCCCCAGTCCAAATGCTGTATTTGTAAGCTAGTTCTTGAAATGTGTTCCATTTCTGGTTATGCAGAGGCAGTGCTACCATGCCTCAGTCCTCAGCCTTTCTAAGTGTTCAGCAGAAATTTCCAGCTTGTTGATATGTGTGTTCCTAGCTAGCAAGGTTGACCAGGAATTTTTTCTTCTCTTCGGAGGTCAAAGGTTAACTGAGTGAACTATATGTGTTGGGAAAGCAGAATCGTATGGAGAAGCACGGAGATAGAAGTCTGTGGATTTAAAAAGTGTTCTGGTGGTATGGGTTCTGTTTGTGAGACTCTCCGTTAGATGGCACCAGAGAGCTACTGGTTTTTTAAGAAGTCTCCAAAAGCACCACAGAAGTGCCGAAAAGCCATGCGTGTGCTGAGGTTCGGAGCAAAACCATACAATGTTTTCTGGTTCGACTAATTGAAGGCCTAATTACTGATGCAGTTAAGGAAACTATTGGTAAATTGATCTGTAACTGTAGCTTTAATCATTAGCACCAGTGAATCAATTAAAGCCTTAATGGATAGCAGTTCTAGAATGATTACCCTCCTCCTCGTGTGTCCATTTCAAGACCCACTTCCCAGAACCTTGGTGTGAATGGTAGTCATTTAGCAGGAGTAAGAGGTTGTGAAAACCCATTGCTGTAATTGTAGGGACTGCCCCAACAGGGCTTGCTTCCTTTCGAGGGTCCCACCTTCCAGTTTCCTTCTTTTTTGAATTCTGCTGGATCCTTAACCTTGAACTCACAGTTCTTTGTCAAAGGTTGGGGGAAGCGCTGACTTGAAAAAAGAGGCAGAGAAAAAGCTGCTGGTGAAGTCCATGGAAAACAAGAACAAGTTCTCTCAGGCGAAGCTGTTGGCAGGTGCTGTGAAACACAGAAGGTGAGTTTCACACCTCTGGAGACTGGGAGGGGGGAAGTAATCTAGTTGGCAACAGCAAGCACCAGCCAACTTCCTGAGGCTCGAAGTGTGGCAAAGCCAGGGAGGCTCTGGTGTCTGAACTCTCCCAAGCAGTGAGGAGCTTGCAACTGGATGGCAGCTGTCTGTCCAGCCAGCTGTTGGCCTCCTGTCTCCTCCTCAGATTGTAGCCCCAGTTCACGCAGGCAATAGTTAGCAAGGCATTGTGTGGCGAGGAAATCTTGGAGCGACCCCAGCAGCCGGTGGTTCCAATACCTACTTTCAGCCACATGCAGAGAGTCCCCTTCCAAGCCCAGTCCTGATTCTCCGTTCCTTTCTGCTGCTGCAATAAGAAGTGAAGTGCTGCAGGGGTGGGGGGTGGGGGAAGTGGTGAGTGGCAGCAGCCCTGAAAAGGGCTGGAAAGGTGGGGCTGGGGAAACTAGCGTTTCGCTTTTCTTTGCATATAGGGGAAATTGATGGGCCTTCTGTTTGAGCAAAGCATATTGGCCCAGTGTTGTGATGTGGAATTTGCTGGTTCTTCCGGTTTGCTCAGGGAGAGAAGTAGGTTTAACAGCACTTCTAACAGCAAAGCTTTCCCCCCTGCAACAGAATGTCATCAAAATGGCAGGGCCGGCATCTCCTCTCTCTCTTTAAAAATTTTTTGGATCCTCTGCAATTTAAATGCAGATACTAGTACAAGCCTACGTAAATCTATGCGGATGCTAAAAGCCCAGTCCTGTTGGTGCGTCCCATTAAATAAAAGCTTGACCTGGCACACCAAAGTGCCCTCTGACAGGAGATCAGCTGAGGAGATTCACGGGAGAGGCCTGTCGCTCTGGAGGAGCAGCAGAGTCGCATCTCAGCGGAACAGTATGGATCGTGGCAGGACGCTGGCATGTGCAAAAGCCCGTCGAAGCTTCTCTTCCTGCAACAAACTGGCTGTTGCCGTCTGTTTTGGAGGGGGCACAAAGTCTCCGAATGTGAATGAGCAGGCAAAAAGCTATTTTTCATCCCGAGCGTTTGGCACACACGAGCAGCAAGTTCTGGGAAAGCGGCGAGGGTGTTTGTGCAACGGCACAGCTGACGGGTGCAGATGGCTCCTTCTTTCAGGCGACATCTCGCCACTGCCGTGCCAATGCCTTGACATTCAGGCATTTGTTCTTTCTCTCCCGTCATTTCGCCTGTGGGTCATGCTCTGTCCTCGACTCCGCCGCTCTCCAGTACTGCCTTCTCCCACCCTGGCTTGTGCCTCTGGGATCTGGCTTGCGTGTGAAATGCCCTCGGGAAAGAACCACGGTGCCTGCTGCTACTATAATATACTATACTATAAATAAAATAAATTTGGTCTTTTTGTTGAGGGCACAGCATCCTTTTTCACAGGCGTCCACAAACCTTCCGGCTCTCTGCGCCCTCCTGTTGTTTTCTTGAGAGTCATACAGTTGCGTGGAGGCTTCCTGCAGGCCGCGAAGGCGCTCCTTTGGATGTCACCACAGCCACAGGTGCCTGTCCCTGTGGCCTTAAGCAAGCTGCTATCCCTCAGGCTCTCTGCTCCCCCTTTTCCCCAGCCTGGAGAAAATTTTGGCCACCATTACAGGGATGTTGCAAAGAGTGCTGAAATGATGTGTGCAGAGCTCTGCATAAACACTTGGGATGGATTCTCCCCTACCCCCGTGCAGATATGCAGCTCCAGTCCGTCTACTGCCCCCCCAGTCCTTTTGTGACTAACGACAAACTTCTCCCTGCAGTGTGGGACTCTCTTCTGATCTTTTTGGTATGTTAGAAGATATTTTGTTAGCAGAATGTTCTGGCTTCCTTGCCTCGCAGGTCTTCTGGGAAAGGCACCAAGGACTGGAGAAAAGGTCTCCAGGCCATTCTGCAGAGGGGTAGGGAATGAGGAAGCTGGTCTTAACCAACAACAGCAACAAATGGTGCCTGTTAAGTTACGCAAACTAGGGAGAAGAGACTAGCAATAAATGATGCTTATTGACTGTCTCCTAAGTGGCCACCAGAGATCTTGCTGCCCCAGACAACTTGGCAGTTGTTCTTCCTGCATCTTGGGCTGTTCTGTCCTTTGCACCGGTGTGTGCTGTGTTTTCAGGCACCTTTTTGCAGCGTTCACATCCCCCCTTTTTGCACTTAAAAGTTGTGTGAAGAGTCCCTCTGCTGTGCTGAGAGGAAGCAAAAGAGCTGTGTAAGAACACCTCTGGCTGTATTCCTGGCTGCCTATCAGCTAGGGATCCCAAGGGACTGTTCCCTGTAGGAATGATGCACGGGAGATGGATGGGCAACAACCAATATTCTCTGCTTTGTTGCTGTTTGCGTGCCGAAGCCTTTTTGACACTTTTGTTTTCTTGCAGTTCAGAAGGTGCCAACAGCGTGAAAAGACTGAAGCTCGATCCTGATCCCAACCCGGACGAGGCTCCAGGTGGGCAAATTGCCTTTAGAGCTGATCAAAGTTGTCGGGTGACCTTGGAACGTGTTCCCCCCCCCCTCTGTTACGTGAAGCTGCCTTCTGCGTCTGACTGTAAAGCCTGCTCCGACCTCCAGCAGCTCTCCAGGGCTTTGGGTCCTTTCCGGCACCTGCCGTTCAGATCCCTAGGTGGAGCTGCCTGGGGCCTTCAGCATGCAGAGCCACTGAGCCATGGTCCCACCACCTCCTTGTTGGAGGGAGGGCCTCTTTATAAAACCCAGAGGGAAGCGTGCCCCTGCAAGCTGCCTGTTAGTCTCAACCTGCTTTTCTGCCATATGGGGACCCAAAGCCACTGGCAACATTGGCTTCCCTGTCTCCATTTCCCCTCCCCCCAGAACAACCCTGCGAGGTAGGTCAGCCTGAGACTGAGTGAGTGGTCAAGGGCACTGGCATAGAGGATTGGGGGATTCGAATATCTGTCTTACCAGATCCTAGTCCAGCACTCTTAACCATTACACCACCCCAGCTCTGTACTGATGCTGTAACTCATTGGTGCAATGGAAGTGGTCTTTGTGCCTAAAGAGTTCTCTGGCGTACTCTGTCCACAGAGTTTCATGCTATAGTGGACAAAAGAGGTTTCCCGGAGCATCGTGCAGGCAGCAGGAGATACCTTGCGAGTTAAAAGTTGTGCAATACCTTCAGTCTTACATCCGGCATTTGAACCTCAGGCTGTATCCCTGGCAGCGGTTAATTATCCTTGGAGCCTCTGTGGAGTGACAAGCTGGCGCTGCTTCAGCTCCTTGTCAGTCTTCCACGAACGGAGTCCTGAACTAGGGATTATAACCAGGAGTCCTGAACTAGGGATTATAACCGGGACTACTGTAATGCTCTCTACATGGGGCTGCCTTTGTCGCAAATCCGGAAGCTGCACCTAGTGCAGAATGCTGCGGCCAGGCTGTTGATGGGTCTTCCTAGAAGGGACCACATCCAGCCTGTGCTGAAAGTGCTGCACTGGCTGCCAATAGCGTACCGGATTCGTTTCAAAGTGCTGGTTCTTACCTTTAAAGCCCTACATGGTCTGGGTCCAGCTTACCTAAGGGACCGCCTTTCCTCATATGTTCCCCCGCGAGCACTTCGGTCCGGGACCCAACATCTCCTGGCAATGCCAGGCCCCAAAGAGGCCAGGCTGGCCGCCACCAGGGCCAGGGCTTTCTCGGTGGCGGCTCCTATCTGGTGGAACGAGCTCCCGGAGGAGATCCGGGCCCTGCGGGACCTTGTGCAGTTCCACAGGGCCTGTAAGATGGAGCTCTTCCACCAGGTCTATGAGTAGGAGCCGCCACTACCATCACCATTATTCCATCTTCACCTGGCCCTGGATGAGGGAACATCAGTGCTTCCCTGGAGCAGACGATGCTGAACAGTTGAAATATGCCGTCTTTGAAATTTCATGTTGAACACCTTGAGCACTTTAGTCAATAACTTGTTAAGAATGTTTTTGTACTGTTGGGATTTTAAATGGTTTTAATTATGTTTTATATTGGCGTTTGCCCCTATGTAAGCCGCCCTGAGCCCGCATTGCGGGGAGAGCGGGGTATAAATTGAATTAAATAAATAAATAACGTCAGGGCTCCCAATCCATCCTAGCCACTGAGTCTTATTCCTTCCCAATTGTATCCTAGCTGGTTGTAGGGGGCTTTGTAGCGTGGCCTCTCATTGGCCCTCCGCAATTCTCCCAGGTAACAGAGGAGGGAATCTTATTGCTTCTCGTAATCTGTGGCTTGAAATCCTGTTTCTGTTCTCTGGGGAAATAACTATATACATCCTTTGTCAGTAAGGGATTTATTTTGAACTGAAAGGGCAGCAACCTTGCCTCTGTCTGCTAATTTCTCCCCACAAGGGGAAAGAATTTTTCTGCTCCTGTTGGAGAGGTGGGTGTTAACAGGTTGCTGCTGGGGAGAAGATGTCTGAGGAGTACAGGAATGTGTGGGAAGGTAGCGGAGTATCTTTGAAATCTGGGGGCAGCTTGAATCTGTGCATCTCCCTTTGCGGATCTGTAACGTAAAACTAAACCTTCGTTTTGCATACACTCACTTTTCGGAAAGCAGTATCAGTCACTCCTTGTGGAAGCTGCGGTTAGCAAGGTGAAGCCATCGTCCTTTACATTAGGAATTAACATTGAATGCAAACCTGCTACAGTTGGGTTACTGGGGATGTAGACTGGTATAGCCTGACTGTGTCAGATCTCAGAAGTAAGCAGGGCTGGGACCAATGCTCCCTCTAAGCCGTGGAGTCTTGTGAGCAAAAAGTCTACTTGGTGAGCTACCAGCATTAAAGTTGTGAGCAAGCGATTTGGCTGCTGCATGAATTCATTTACTCCGGAGCCATCCTCCCTGAGCTAAGACAAAAATGTGTGAGCCGGAGGCTAAAATACTGTGAGCTAGCTCACA